ACAACACCAAGACTAAAGACAAATGGGAATGATGTCATCTTGAACTCCTTTATTTTGACCATTATTTATTTGAAGTGAAGGTATTGTTCTTGAGGAAAAAAATCATCTGTCTAAAACTAAATGCATTTAAATAGAAATGAAAGGGAAAGCTCCACAGCCCAAACTGTTCTCAGTAGACCCTGTGACGTCCCACTCAGATCACTTGCCATGGTGTCTGCAAAGTGTATTCTTCCCTCACCCTGCGCCTTAAGGGCTGAGCAGAGCATGGGCCCTCAGCCTGCCCCTCTTGGCCTTTCACAGGAGCGATCATCCATATAGCATTTGCCAGAAGCTAGGTGGGACCAACTATCACTTGCAACTTCTTGTTTAAAAATTGTGAAGTTTAGGGGCTGGCACTGTGGCGTAGCAGGTAAAGCCACCGCCTCCAGTGCCGGCATCCCATATGGGCGCCAGTTCGAGTCCCGGCTGCTTCACTTCCGATTCAGCTCTCTGCTGTGGCCAAGGAAAGCAGTACAAGATGGCCCAAGTCCTTGGGCCCCTGCACCAACGTGGGAGACCCTGAGGAAGCTCCTGGCTCCTGGCTCTGGATTGGCCCAGCTCCAGCCATTGCAGCCAACTGGGGAATGAACCAGCAGATGGAAGACCTCTCTGTTTGTCTCTTCTTCTCTATCTGTGTAACTCTGACTTTCAAATAAATAAATATTTTAAAAAATTGTGAAGTTTAAAAGGATGAAAAAAATAGTGTGCCAGAAAGAGAGGACTGCTCAGCACTGGAAGATATAAATTTGACACAGCTGGGAACTACAATAGGAAAGTACGACTCTTCACTGATACTATGAAAAAATATTTTTGCTTTTTAAAAAAGATTTATTTATTTATTTTAAAGATAGAGTTACAGAGAGAAGGAGAAAGAGGGAGACAGAAATAACTTCCATCCACTGGTTCACTCCTCAAATGGCTGCAAGGGCTAGGACTAGGCCAGGGCTAGGCCAGGCCGAAGCCAGCAACCTGGAACTCCAACCAGGTCTCTTTTGTGGGTGGCAGGAGTCCAATTACTTTAGCAGGGAACTGGATGGAAAGTGGAGCAGCTGATCCTTGAACCTGTGCTCATATGGGATGTTGGCATCACTGGCGGTAGCTTAACCTACTGTGCCACAACACCGGCAACGATGGCTGGAAAACCATCTTGCAGTAAAGCATCAGAAGTTTAAATAATTATATGGTGTGGCCCAAAACAGATAGTGTCGTTTATGCTGATACAAAGGAAAGCAGTGGACAAGTTTGGTGCCTGTGCTTGGGAGCCAGGTTCCAAAGTCCAGGTTTCAGCTCTGTTGCTTCCAAGGTTCATGAACTCAGGCATGCTACTTAACGCCCATCTCTGTAGCTTGAGCATTTGTCAAGCACACTTTACAGGACAGCTTTCCTCTCAGAAATGCCAATTAAAGAAGGTAATGTATAGAGCACTGGAAATGTGGCTGAGTTGTGGGAAGTGCTATGTGAACATTTATTGTTGTTATGGTGACTCCCCATTTTCACGCATGACTCATGACAACAAAAACCAATAAAAGTGAAGGTCAGAGGCCTCACTTTTTTTTTTTTTTGCATTAGTAAATGTGCAGTGTGATGTGATTATTATAAGGTGACAACTACTCCAAAGGGGCACAGATGATTAGTTTGTACAACTAGCATTCTTTTGACATACATTTTGGGAACGATACAGAAGTTGTCTGAAGAAGATAAAGCTAGGGGTTGACGGTGTGGTGTAGCAGCTAAAGCTGCTGCCTGTGACGCCAGCATCCCAGATGGATGCCAGTTCATGTCCTGGCTGCTCCACTTCCAACCCAGCTCCCTGCTACAGGCCTGGGAACAATGGAAGATGATCCAAGTACCGGGGCCTTCCACCCATGTGGGAGACCAGAAGAAGCTCTTGGCTCCTGCCTTCGATCCGTCACAGCCCTGGCAGTTGCAGCCATCTAGAGAGTGAAACAGCAGATAAAGATCTCTCTCTCTCTCTCTCTCTCTCTCTCTCTCTGTAAATCTTTCAAAATTAACTAAAATCATTAAAAAAAAAAAAGAAAAGAAAGTGAAACTGGACCACGAGAGTTTCTTTGCTGCTGGCTTTTGAAGCTGTGCACCTGCCGGCATTCTCAATGGAGCAGAGTTTGGGAATGAAAGTTTTCAAACCTTGGTCTAAAGCTTTTTGTTCTAGGAACCTTATAATGCTTATGTGAATTAATATCTATAAGCTTTTGTACAATCTGCAACTTCTGTTCTGAGATGTTTAACTCTTCAGACTTCAAGGGCCATTCTTGATGACAATTTCTATGCCTTTGAATTTATATACTCGTTCTTCTTTTCCTTTTGACAAGCTCATAGTATTGTTAGCTTCGCCTGTTTTCTTTACTAGGCAAGGTTCATATAGGCAGGTATCGTGTCTGTGTACTGGTTGGTATATCTCCAGTGCCAGCCACAGCACCCTGCACATACTAAGCATTTCAAAGAATTGGGTGAGGTGACGGCGATAAAGGCTGCAGCATGCAGCAATGGAGTGCTGTAAAATGGGCAGATTCTGGGGCAAAATCCAGCTTTTCTCATTTTTATGTGTTCCACAGCAAGTTGCCTTACATGCTTTCGTTTGTCTTTGTAAAATGATACTACCGGGTCGGCGCCACGGCTCACTAGGCTAATCCTCCGCCTTGCGGCGCCAGCACACCGGGTTCTAGTCCCGGTCGGGGCGCCGGATTCTGTCCTGGTTGCCCCTCTTCCAGGCCAGCTCTCTGCTGTGGCCTGGGAGTGCAGTGGAGGATGGTCCAAGTGCTTGGGCCCTGCACCCCATGGGAGACCAGGAAAAGCACCTGGCTCCTGCCATCAGATCAGCGCGGTGCGCCGGCCACAGCGGCCATTGAGGGGTGAACCAACGGCAAAAGGAAGACCTTTCTCTCTGTCTTTCTCTCTCACTGTCCACTCTGCCTGTCAAAAAAAAAAAAAAAAGATACTACCTATTTCATAAGGATTATGAGCTTATAGCAAGAGGATAACTTGAATGTGCAGTACTTTCTATGTACAGTGTTTCAACACACAGGGTTTTAAAATCCAGTGAAGTACAAGTCCTCTTTAAAAGTTTCCACATAAGAAAATAAGACAAGCAGAGGTATCAGGGAGCTACAACCTATGCCTGAGGGACTCATAAAAGGCAAAAAGGTCCTTAAGGCATCCTTAGGATTTCAACATGTAAAGCGAGTAGACAAATCCAGGTTAAACAAACAGGACAAAGAGAGAGGTAAAATGGGACTCAGACTGACTGGATAAGGGCTGGTTACGTTGGGCTGAACGTGGGGTGTGTGAACCAGGGAAGTGAGAGATGTGCTGGCAATGCAGGGTGGGGCCCTGCTGCTAGAGTCACCTTCTTTGACCCAGCAGCCAGCCAGACACTCCCAGCAACGTGGGGCAGGCCTGTGGCACCACAGGAGGATCACCGTGCCAGGGCGTGGGTCTGCTCTAGGAGCCGGAGCACCCGGAGTGCTAAGACCAGGTGGGAGAGCTGTGCCTCCTCCAGGTGAGGGAGGGGAAGGTGGGAGAGCTGTCAGCTCCTCCAGGTGGGGAGGGGTGGGGGGGCAGGTGGGAGAGCTGTCACCTCCTCCAGGTGAGGGAGGGGTGGGGGGGCAGGTGGGAGAGCTGTCACCTCCTCCAGGTGAGGGAGGGGTGGGGGGCAGGTGGGAGAGCTGTCACCTCCTCCAGGTGAGGGAGGGGTGGGGGGCAGGTGGGAGAGCTGTGCCTCCTCCAGGTGGGGGGGGGCAGGTGGGAGAGCTGTCGCCTCCTCCAGGTGGGGGGGGGCAGGTGGGAGAGCTGTGCCTCCTCCAGGTGGGGGGGGCAGGTGGGAGAGCTGTGCCTCCTCCAGGTGGGGGGGCAGGTGGGAGAGCTGTGCCTCCTCCAGGTGAGGGAGGGGCAGGTGGGAGAGCTGTCGCCTCCTCCAGGTGGGGGGGGCAGGTGGGAGAGCTGTGCCTCCTCCAGGTGAGGGGGGCAGGTGGGAGAGCTGTCGCCTCCTCCAGGTGGGGGGGGCAGGTGGGAGAGCTGTCGCCTCCTCCAGGTGGGGGGGCAGGTGGGAGAGCTGTCGCCTCCTCCAGGTGGGGGGGCAGGTGGGAGAGCTGTCGCCTCCTCCAGGTTGGGGGGGCAGGTGGGAGAGCTGTCGCCTCCTCCAGGTGGGGGGGGCAGGTGGGAGAGCTGTCGCCTCCTCCAGGTGGGGGGGGCAGGTGGGAGAGCTGTGCCTCCTCCAGGTGAGGGGGGGCAGGTGGGAGAGCTGTCGCCTCCTCCAGGTGGGGGGGGCAGGTGGGAGAGCTGTCGCCTCCTCCAGGTGGGGGGGGCAGGTGGGAGAGCTGTCGCCTCCTCCGGGGGTGGGGTGGGGAGCGAGGGGCAGAGCTGTCGCCCAGGTGAGGGACGGGTGGGAGAGTCGGCGTCCTCGGCAGGTACCGGAGGGTAAAGGCCCACACAGGCAGGGCCGGCCCCGCGCAGCATAACCGGAGCCCTCCGCTAACGCTAACGGGGGTCTCGCAGGCGTGAGGGCGGTTTGCATCTCGCAGCCCCTCCTCCGGTCGCCTCCCCTCCCGCCGACCGTCAGCAGCGCTCGCTTAGGCCGGCCCCCTTCCTCCTCCTCCACCGTCGGCCCCGGCAGCCGCTCGGGCCACCCCACCCGGGACCCCCTATCGCCTCGGCCGGGCGGCTCCACGCGGACGCCCTCGCGGCTCTCGACCAATAGGCAGGCCCCGCTTCCGGGCCTCGAGCCGCGATTGGCTGGCAGCGCCGTGGTGCGAGGTGGTGCGGTGAGGCTGCCGGCCGAGGGGGAGCTGGAGGCGGTTGTTAGGGCGACCGTTCGTGACGTAGGCCGTTCGGCGGGCGGCCCCAAGCTGATTGGTCGTTCGATCGGACGATCCTTTTTTATTGGCCGCCGGCTCGTGCGCCAGCGAGCGTGCTTAAACCCAAGGTTCCCTTCCGCCCCCGGTTCTTCCGTTGACTGAAAATGAGCGGAGCTGGGCGTCCGGCGCCGGCGGCCTCTGGTGAGATCCTGAGGTGAGGTCGCGGTGGGGAGCCGGGGTGCGGAGGGGCGGCGGGGCGGCGGGCCGCGGCGGGGCGGCGGCGGGGCGGCCTTGGGCGGCGCCGGCCTCGGGGAGGGGCGGCTGCTGCTGACCGGCCGGGAGCGGTCGTCGTCGCGGGGGTGCGGTCAGCGTGGCCCCGAGGCTCCGGGGCGAGGAAGGCCGGGCGTCCGCGGAGGCAGTGACGCGCGCGAAGGCCGCAGGGGCTGCGCCGGGACCCCCGGGCCGGGCCGGGCCCCCGCCGCTGCCCGCGATCTCTGAAGGGGCGAAACCTGCTCGGCGCCGGGGTCCTCCGGTCCGGCCGCGTGGGGTTGCGGGCTCGGGGTCAGCCCCGGACCCTGACGGCGCGGAGGTGGAAGCCTTGCGCGCATCCCGCAGCACCGGCCGCGGCTCAGTGGGCCGTTGCGAAATTGCCGGTGTTTGAAACTCGACCTTTTTTTTTTTTTTTTTTTAAACTTAGGGAAGTGGTAGTTTTAGGCGGTTTCATTGAACAGTTGTGTTTGTCAGAGGACTTGTAGTTCTAGTTTCCTGAGTGGAAGAAGAGAGCAGAGCCTGGCTTACAATCGGGGAGCGTGGGGTAGAACTGGGTACAGAATCCCTGTTCTCTGATCTCCATCGTAAGATTTTTTTTTCCCTAGTATACTAAATCGAGCAGCAGCAAGCCAGATGCTGTTGGGGTTAAGAATGACTGCAGTCTAAGACGCGGTTCTTGCCTTTAGAGGCAAAATGTAGTCATTAATTAATGTGAGAAGGATGTCAGGTGCTGTGTAATCAAATGCAGGATTATTATTGACCCAGGAACAGTGCTGAATGGGAGGAAGAATCCAGGTGCCCCGGCATCTCTCTCTGCATTCGGCCGTAGTTGGTAGTTCTTGTAGCAGATTGGATTAGAGTTGGACTATTCCAGTGAATTTAAATGCCCGTTCTTCTAAGAAGTTTGTGAAACGTTTGCAGCGTACTTCAGTCTGGCCAAGCGAGGCATATTGTCTGTTGACCCTGTTTCCTTTAAGTAAAAGTTTGATTGCAGCATGAATAAACACTGTATTTAATATACGTGCGCCTTCCTTAGCCTGCCAGTGCCCTTTGCAGCTGCTGCTGAAGGTGGAAGGTGAGATTCTGTAGCATGTCAGTGCTTTGCATAATCACAGAGAAATGAGATGGGAGTTTACAAGAAACGAGTTTATAATTATGGTTACTTTTGACACACCTTTGTTAAGATGACTTCGTATTTCCAAATAGGTGTGTGGTTGTCCGTGTTTTGGGTGGCTCATAGAGCTGTGTGTAAATTTTTCCCTGAATGTTGCGAAGGTTACTTTAAGAAAAAATATTGCAGAACTGACGATGCCACAATAACATTTTTTTTTCTTTAAAGATGTATTTATTTATTTGAAAGGCAGGGTACAAACACAGAAAGAGAGAGAGAGAGGGAGGGAGGGAGAGAGCGAGAGAGAGAGAGAAAGAGAGCTAGAGACAGAGAGAGCTTTCATCCACTGGTTCACTCCCCAAATAACACTGGAGTACCTGGGTTAGAGTCCTGGCTCTGGCTCCCAATTCCAGTTTTCCTGCCAGTGTGCACCCTGGGAAGTACCAGATGGCAATGGCACAGCTGGGCTGATCGGAAGCCAGGAGATTCTTCCGGGTCTCCCATGTGGGTACAGGAGCCTAAGGACTTGGGTCATCCTGTACTGCTTTCCCAGGCAATAGCAGAGAGCTGGATCGGAAGAGGACTCGAACGGGCACTCATGGGATGTTGGCATTGCAGGTGGTAACTTTAACTGCTATGCCACAGTGCTGGCCCCAACAGTTTAGATTATAATTCAGCTGGATTAAATAGTGATGTACTATATTGACTTGATAGGGAATTATCTAGGTTGAAGTGCCTTTTTTGGGGCAGTGGAGTGGGGTTGGGAGAGATTAGAAATCATTTTGACCTAGTTTTGAAACAAGTAGTTAATTTATTTTCTGGAATGTTACTGCTAATTGATTTCTTTAGATCAGTTTGTACAGTTTTTTTTTTAAGCTTATCATTTTAATTCCATTTTTCCATAAACTTGAGAGGGAGAGGGAGATCCTCCAACCACTGGTTCACTCCCCAAATACCTTCAATAGCTGGCGCTGGGCCAGGGCAAATCCAGGACCCTGGAACTCAGTCCAGATTCCATGTGGGTGGCAGGGACCCAAGTATTTGAGCCATCATCTGGTGATTCCCAGGGTGCACATGAGCAGGAAACTGGAATTGGGAGCCAGAGCTAGGAATCCAACCCAGGTACTCCAGTGTCAAAAGCAGGCATCCCAAGCATCCTGCTAGTTTAATAGAATTTTGTTGTTAATTTTCCAGCAAACCATTACAAAATACAATTTTTTTTCTCCTCAGTCTTCCATTAAAATGTTCCTTGAATAGTCAATTTCACTTTTAGCTTGAAGGCATGCATTACTTCCGTATCTAAGTGCTTTTTTTGCAAAAAGATATTCTTATGTCTGTTTCAAGATGTGTTGATTAAATGCATGTTACTATAGTGTAAGAATTTCTCTTTTAATTAAGTGGGAACTTGTCAGGCAGTGCTGTATATGAATGCAAAATATTGGGGGGGGAATTGATGACCAAGAGTTAAGATGGAAGATTGGAAAACATGAATGCGCACAAGCAGGTGCCTGCCACATTTGTACCTCAGGACTGACAGTTTAATATTGTGACTTGCAGCAAGAAATACATTTCATGTGGGAAGCTAGAGCACATGCTCATAACTGTATGTTTCGTGAAACAAAGTTTCAACAAATAGTGCCTAGTTAGACTGTATGTTTTAGCTAACAGCTTTTGTTTTAACATTATTGTTTTGTTTTATTCTTTATACAAAATTTTCTGCTTTATTCTTTACATAGAATTTTCTGTTTTATTCTTTATAAAAAATTGATTTCGTGGTCTAAATAATCAAATGAAGGGCTGTGACCTAGAGTTTGGGAAGGACTGGTGTTAATTGAAATGTAAAGAAGTTGAAATGGTAGAGAAATGATACTCCATAATTGCTTTGGTCCCTAAAACTCTACAACCATAAATTAATGCTTTCTCTTTTTAAAAAATTTATTGTATTTATTTGAAAGGCAGAGTTAGAGAGGGAGATCTTCCATCCACTGATTCACTCCCCAGACAGACGCATTGGCTGGGCTCGGGCTGGGTCAGGCTGAAATCTGGAGCCCAGAACCCCCTCATGTCTCCCGTGTGTGTGGCATGGGTCCAAGCACTCGCGCCATCTTTCTCTGCTTTTTCAGGTGCACTAGTAGTGAGCTAGCTTGGAAGTAGATCAGCTGGGACGTGAGCCTGCGTTCATATGGGATGCTGGCCTTGCAGGCAGCGGCCTAACCCCTCATGCCCAGTGCGGACCCCTGTCTTTTACTTAATTCGTTGTCTTTTTATTTCATGTCTTCAGTAGATGGATCAGTTTCTTAATTATTATGGAATGTGAGATTTTGTTTAAAATTTTTTAAAGGATTATTTATTTGAGAGGCAGAGTTACAGAGGCAAAAGGAGAAAGAAAAGGGAGAGGCAGAGACAGAGAAAGTCTCCCATCTGCTGGTTCACTCCCCAAATGGCCACAACTACCAGGGCTGGGCTAGACTGAAGTCAGGAACCAGGAGCTGCTTCTGGGTCTCCCATATGGGTGCAGGGGCCCAAGTACTGGGCCTCTTCCACTGCTTTCCCAGGCACATTAGGGGGGAGCTGGATTAGAAGTGGAGCAGCCGGAATGGGAACCAGCACCCATATGGGATAGGGGCACTGCAAATGTTGGCTTAACCCACTGTACCACAGCCCAACCCCTTAGTCTTACTTTTTATTTATTTATTTTTTAAAGATTTTGATATATGTATTTTAAAGTCAGAGTTACTCAGAGAGAGGAGAGGCAGAAAGAGAGAGAGAGAGGTCTTCCATCCAATGGTTCACTCCCCAATTGGCCGCAACGGCTGGAGCTGTGCCGATCCAAAGCCAGGAGCTTCTTCTCCCATGTGGGTACAGGGGCCCAAGGACTTGAGACATCTGCTTTCCCAGGCCATAGCAGAGAGTTGGATCGGAAGTGGAGCAGCCAGGTCTCAAACCAGCGCCCATATGGGATGCTGGTGCTTCAGGCCAGGGCGTTAACTCACTGCACCACAGCACTGGCCCCAAGCTTGCTTTTTAATCTTAATTTATTTTTATGGATAATTAATATGCTGTATCATACACATTGATTTCAGGATAAGAACTAAGGCTTGCGAGTTCCTTTTTTGGAGGCCAGACTTTTTTCAAAATCAGAATATCAGACTATTATTTGGCCAGCAAATATGGGGACATTTAGTCATGGTAGTCTTCAGATCAAAGCCTTCCAGATGAGGGAGTCTTCCAAAGGTTCATGGAAATGCGTATTATAAAGGAAACCATTCATGGATTTCAAAATTGTTTTGCACCAAAATAAGCTTATCTTTAATTGTATTTTTCCATGAACTATTTGAAGGGCCCTCATATGTTCTGTTGGGAATTCTTTGTAATGCTATAGACATCTTTAGTCGGTTATCCATTTCTACTCCTGTTGTAGTTTTTGATAAAAATACAGGAATGTTTCACATCTGATGCTTTCCTGTTGGTCTTCCAGCCCTACTGCTGATTTTGCTAAAAGGAAAGTAGCTACCAGAGCATATTTTTTAGCTTCCTATTAATGTAGGCACGTTGATAAGAAAATAATTTCTCTGGTGATAGCAGCATTAAACTGTTTCAATAAGTATAATTTTGCTGGTGACATTAGCATTTGTTTAGTGGAATAAAACAGTGTAGTACTTTCTGCCTTTGAAGACATTACATACTAACTTGTTTACTCACAAGTAGATTCGGTATTTCCTTTTTCTGGAACCAGAATGTGGCTGATGAAGAGGGTCCCTATATGTATTTTGTATCCAGGGAAAAGGAAATATGATAGTTGCATCTCACTTTTTTTTTTTAAGGTTTATTTTATTTATTTGAAACACAGAATATATAGAGAGGTAGAGCTAGAGAGAGAGAAAGAGGTCTTCCATCTGCTGGTTCAGTCCCCAAATGACTGCAACGGCCGGAGCTGAGCTGATCCGAAGCCAGGAGCCAGGAGCTTCTTTTGGGTCTCCCACACTGGTGCAGGGGCCCAAGGACTCAGCTCAGGCCATCATCTACTGCGTCCCCAGGCCATAGCAGAGTGCTGCATTGGAAGTAGAGCAGCCAGGTCTCGAATCGGTGGTGCCCATATGGGATGCTAGCTCTGCAGGCCAGGGCTTTAACCTGCTGTGCCACAGCGGTGACCCCGCTTCTCACTTTTGATTTCTGCTTATTGTTTTTCTTATTGGTTCAGATAATAAAAGGTGCTGTATTTGTATGGTTTGATCTTAAATGCCTAAATTCATAGTTTTTAAGAAATGATTACAGCCGGTGCCGTGGCTCACTAGGCTAATCCTCCGCCTTGCGGTGCCAGCACACCAGGTTCTAGTCCGGGTCGAGGCGCCGGATTCTGTCCTGGTTGCCCCTCTTCCAGGCCAGCACTCTGCTGTGGCCCGGGAGTGCAGTGGAGGATGGCCCAAGTGCTTGGGCCCTGCATCCCATGGGAGACCAGGAGAAGCACCTGGCTCCTGCCTTCGGATCAGCGCGGTGTGCCGGCCACAGCACGCCGGTCGCGGCGGCCATTGGAGGGTGAACCAACGGTAAAGGAAGACCTTTCTCTCTGTCTTTCTCTCTCACTGTTCACTCTGCCTGTCAAAAAAAAAAAAAGAAAAAAGAAAAAGAAATGATTACATTTAAGTTGGCTGCCAGGGAGTACGAAAGGATTTAAGTATTTGAATAATGAAGTAATAACGATCTTCTTAATTTAATTCATAATTATTTTCCAGGATTATAAGGGACACTGTCAAAAAGTCACATGTGCAGGGCACTGTCCACACATAGCACGGTTTACAGTATTCTCTTCCTTAGTACCTTTCCCTAAAAATATTGTGAGCCAGGTATACTGAGTGTTCACACTTGATACTCCTTGTAGGGTCCAAGGATTTTGTAGCTACGATGCTTTCACGACTTTTCCGTATGCATGGCCTCTTTGTGGCCTCCCATCCCTGGGAAGTCATCGTGGGGACAGTGACACTGACCATCTGTATGATGTCCATGAACATGTTCACTGGTAACGATAAGATCTGTGGTTGGAATTACGAGTGTCCGAAGTTTGAAGAGGTTAGTGAAAGTAATTTGATACTGATTGCAGTCCATTTCATGTTCAGTTTCTAAAGAATGTCTTTTAGAGACATAATTTTTAAAAGCCATGAGTGAAATGTTTATTTTGGTATTCATGAACTTACCTTGTTTCCAATTATTTACATGGTATAGAAATATACTGGAAATACTTTAATTTTCTCCACTCAAATGAATTTGTGTTTGAGAAACATCTGTTACAAATGACTACCAGTGAGAAATGAGTATGATATATAACCCAGTGGATTATTTAAAAGTTGGATTTAATTTTTGATTTGTATGTCTGATATGTTTATTTGATCTGTATTGTGTCTGTATTAATGCTCTTAAAATATGTAAACTGGCACTTAAAACATAAAAGTTCTTATTTTTGATTATTTTAAAGGTCAAAACTATTGAAGTTTTTTCTTCTGTATCCCAATAGGATGTTTTGAGCAGTGATATTATAATTCTGACCATAACACGATGCATAGCAATCCTGTATATTTACTTCCAGTTCCAGAATTTACGTCAGCTTGGATCAAAATATATTTTGGGTAATGTTCTAATATGTTTAACTTCTTTGTATGCCATCAGATTTTTTATTTGCTATGGAAATAAACTTGTTTGTTCAAATCATGTATTTGGAAATACGTGTATTGCTGAACTTACACTGCCTGCATCAGTAGTTCCTTTTCTTATTATTGAGAATCAGACATCCTGAAATTTGAGACCTTCTGAGTCTATAAAGAAATGGTATATCTCAGAATATTGCTTGAGACTAAATGTTGCTGTGTAATAAAGGATGCAGTTCCTCATGGCTGAATTTTGTCATTTTAGGTATTGCTGGCCTCTTCACAATTTTCTCAAGTTTTGTATTCAGCACAGTTGTCATTCACTTCTTAGATAAAGAACTGACGGGCTTGAAGTGAGTATTAAAGCCTAACCGAACTTTCTTCAGAGTACATTTTTAAGAACCTTTCTTTCCTGTGCTGTAAAGGCAGTATATACATTTTCAAAAGTTAAAGTATGGGGAATTATGTCTGATAATAGTTGTGTTTCCACGTCCTTGGTGTTAAAAATGAATTGTTAGTCATGACTGTGTACTGTTCTCTGTGAACGTTGTAGAGTGTAATCCTTTAACGTGGGATTGCTGCGCTGCTTGGTCTTCATTGGCAACAGCGCTGTGACAGTTGTCTGCCTTAGGCTGTGTTCTGAAGGACTGGGACAGTGGCTTTGCTTTTCAGGGCTGTACTTTCCTTTTAGAGCTGTTGATGCTGTTACTGCCTGTTTCCTCTTTTATCTTTCCATAAGTAGTGGTTAATGAAACAAATGGTTACACCACTTTTTTCCCCATATTAATTCAGGGAAACTGTTTTTAAAATTAAGGATGGTATTTTGCCAATAAAACTAGCAAAGCACTGAAGCTTTTTGGTGTAAATATATTTACATTTAACATTAAGAATTTCTTTTAAGTTTTTATTTATTTACTTGCGAGGCAGAATTAGAGAGAGAGGGAGAGACAGAGAGAGAGGTCTTCCATCCACTGGTTCGCTCCCCAACAGCTGCAATGGCCAGAGCTGGGCCTATCTGAAGCCAGGAGCTTCTTCGAGGTCTCCCAGATGGGTGCAGGGGCCCAAGCACTTGGGCCATCCTCTACTGCTTTCCCAGGCCATAGAGAGCTGGACCGGAAGAGGAGCAGCCAGGATTTGAATCGGTGCTCACGTGGGTTGCTGACACCACAGGCAGAGGCTTAACCTACTTACACCATAGCACTGGCCCCCATTAAGAATATTTTTAACAAATGCTTTTGAGTATCTATTATGCTTAGGTTGAGGATGTCAAAGAAGTGTCTGGCCTGCAGAAAAGGTGCACACAACAGAATTAGACAAAGTGTGGAGGAGAAGTTTGTTTGAAAAATAATTTTTTAAACCACGTTTCTGTGTGCTAAGTGTATCTGATCATCTTGCTTTCTTTTCCAGTGAAGCTTTGCCATTTTTCCTGCTTCTGATTGATCTTTCCAGAGCAAGTGCATTAGCAAAGTTTGCCCTTAGTTCCAACTCCCAGGTGAGTATTATTCGTAAGATAGGAATGTGAGGAATATTCTTTGTTGCTTGTTTATGTTAATAGGGTATTTCTTCATAGCTCACAATTCAGGAATTGCCCAAAATTTGAAAAAAATTTTTTTTTTTTATTTTGACAGGCAGAGTGGACAGTGAGAGAGAGAGACAGAGAGAAAGGTCTTCCTTTGCCGTTGGTTCACCCTCCAATGGCCGGCGCAGCGCGCTGATCCGATGGCAGGAGCCAGGAGCCAGGTGCTTTTCCTGGTCTCCCATGGGGTGCAGGGCCCAAGCACCTGGGCCATCCTCCACTGCACTCCCTGGCCACAGCAGAGGGCTGGCCTGGAACAGGGGCAACCGGGACAGAATCCGGCGCCCCGACCGGGACTAGAACCCGGTGTGCCGGCGCCGCTAGGCGGAGGATTAGCCTAGTGAGCCGCGGCGCCGGCCCCCAAAATTTGAAATTTAATTTTTAAGTTGTAAGACTTGTCTTTAAAAGTGTCTTAAGAATGGTCCCATTTACCTCGTAACTCAATTATAATTCCTTATGTACTAGAATATGTAATTTTTCCTATTTTCCTGCTTGAAGGTATTCAGAAATTATGATAATAAGACTTTGGGATAAGTAAGAGTATCTGCTTAGTGAAACACATCTGTTCTACTGGGCTCCAGGGAAGTTTTATTTTTTTAATTTTATAATTAATTTTTAGAAATTCATTTTACTTGAGAGGCAGAGAGACGAAGAGAGCTCCCCTTCATTGGTTCACTTACCAAATGGCTGCAATGACGGGCTGAAGCTAGGAACCAGGAACTCAGTCCAGATCTTGGTGGGATCCTGGGTGACAGGGACTCAACTTCTTGAGCTATTACCTCCTGCTTCCCAGGGTGTGCATTAGCAGGAAGCTGGAGTCTAGAGATGGAACTTGAAATTGGACTTAGTCACTCTGAATTTGAGATGCTGGTGTTGCAGCAGCTTAGTTAGCCTGAATGCCTGCCTCTAGGTTTATTTATTTATTCATTGGTTTTTAAATATTTGCTTTTTAAATTTATTGGAAAGGCATCGTGAGAGAGAGAGAGAGAGAGAGAGAGGGAGAAATCTTCTATCTGTTGATTCACTTCCCAAAACCCTCAACATCCAGTGCTGGACCAGGCTGAAACCAGGAGCAAGGAACTCCATCTTGGGGAGCTCAAGTAGTTGAGCCATCATCTGCTGCCTCCCAGGTGCATTAGAAGGGAGCTGTATAGGATGTGGAGCAGCTGGAATTTAAATCAGCACTCGGATATGGGGTGTGGGCATCCCAAGTGGCTTGACCTACTGTGCTACAACATCTGCCCCTACAGATTTATTTTTAAACCTTGAATTAACAAGGCATTTTCCCCCATATTACGTTTTTATTTATTTATTTATTTGACAGGCAGAGTGGACAGTGAGAGAGAGAGACAGACAGAAAGGTCTTCCTTTTTCCGTTGGTTCACCCCTCAATGGCCGCTGCGGCCGGTGCACTGCGCTGATCTGATGGCAGGAGCCAGGTGCTTCTCCTGGTCTCCCATGAGGGTACAGTGGGCCATCCTCCACTGCACTCCCAGGCCACAGCAGAGAGCTGGTCTGGAAGAGGAGCAACCGGGACAGAATCCAGTGCCCTGATCGGGACTAGAACCCGGGGTGCCGGCGCCGCAGGTGGAAGATTAGCCTATTGAGCCACGGCGCCGCCCCATATTAAGTTTTATCTTGATTAGATACCTTAAAGAATCCAACTTCCTAAACTATCTTTTTTTTTTTCTTTTAAAAAAAAACATTTATTTATTTGAGAGGCAGTTACAGAGAGGGAGACAGAAAGGTCTTCCATTTGTTGGTTCACTCCCCAAATGGCCACAATGGCCAGAGCTGTGTAGATACAAAGCCAGGAGCTTCCTCCAGGTCTCCCACATGGGTGCAGGGGCCCAAGCTCTTGGGCCATCTTCCACTGTTTTCCCAGCCATAGCAGAGAGCTGGATCAGAAGAGGAGCAGCTGGTACGCAAACTGGTGCCTGTACGGGATGCTGGTGCTGCAGGCGGAGGATCTAGCCTACTATGCCTCAGTGCTGGCTCCCCTAAACTGTCCTGTATCAAAGTATCTTTTAATCTTTTTTTTTTAAATTTTTTAATTTTTTAAAAATTTTTTTCCAGGCAGAGTTAGACAGCGAGAGAGAGAGACAGAGTTATAGACAGTGAGAGAGAGAGAGAGAGAAAGGCCTTCCTTCCTTTGGTTCACTCCCCCAGTGGCTGCTACGGCCGGTGCTGTGCTGATCCGAAGCCAGGAGCCGGGTACTTTGTCCTGGTCTCCCATGCAGGTGCAGGGACCCAAGCACTTGGGCCATCCTCTGCTGCCTTCCTGGGCCACAGCAGAGAGCTGGACTGGAAGAGGAGCAAACAGGACTAGCACCTGGCACCCCAACTGGGACTAGAACCTGGGGTGCCAGCGCCGCAGGCGGAGGATTAGCCTAGTGAGCTGCGGCGCTGGTAGGAGTCATATTATTTTGCAGAGATCCCACCTGTCTTTGTTTTCTGATGACACAGAACCTACAGTTATGGTAACCTGAATGGATTTTTTCCATAGTTTGCTATTTATTCTCCAGGCCTCAAAGTATCTTGAATATAAAAGAGCATGTAGTTCGATCTTGACTATGTATTTGATGAATGTTTATAATCATTTGAGCATGTGGAGAAGGATATGATTTAGGTTTTACAACACTAACATGATCTCATAAAAAATTTGCAGCTAAGCTTCTGTCAGTTAGACTGTAGTAAGATTTAATTATGTGAGATTTAAATGGTAGGGTTAATTAACCGCCACAGAGGAGTATTCTCAAGACTCATTCACAGGAAGGGGGGCAGGATATTAGGATTCTTCAAAAAGTTCATGGGAAATGCAGATTATGAAAAAGCAATGCATGGATTTCAAAAATTTTAGCACCAGGGGCAGACACTTGTCCCAAGACACCACTTGGAATGCCTTTATCTCATATTGGAGTGCTGAGGCTCTAGACCACACTTTGCACCTGATTGCAGCTTCTTGTCAGGTGCACCCAAGTGATGGATTAAGTAACTGAGTCATTGCCACCCACACGGGAGGACCTTGAATGAGTTCTCAGCTCTTGGCTTGCCCTGACCCAGCACTGACTGCTGTGGTTATTTGGGGAATGAACCAGTGGTTGATATGTTTGTGTGTTGTTCTCTTTTATGTCTTTCAAATAAATAAATTTAAAAAATTTTGTACCAAAATAAATTTATCTTTTTTTAAAAAAGATTTATTTATTTGAAAGAGTTACAGGGAGAGAGGAGAGGCAGAGAGAGAGAAAGGTCTTCCATCCACGGGTTCACTCCCTGATTGGCTGCCATGGCCGGAGCTGCGCCGATCCATAGCCAAGAGCCAGGAGCTTCTTCCAGGTCTCCTACACTGGTGCACGGGCTTTCCCAGGCCATAGCAGAGAGCCGGATCTATAACCAGCGCCCACATGGGATGCCAGCACTACAGGCGGCGGCTTTTACCTGCTACACCACAGCGCTGGCCCCTAAATTTATCTTTTATTTCTCTTTTCCATGAGCTTTTTGAAGTGTCCTCATAATTGGTCTTTTTTTTTTTTTCGTTGGGTTTTTTGACAGGCAGAGTTAGACAGTGAGAGAGACAGAGAGAAAGGTCTTCCTTTTCTGCTGGTTCACCCCCCAAATGGCTGCTATGGCCAGCATGTTACGGCCAGCGTGCTGCGCTGATCCGAAGCCAGGAGCCAGGTGCTTCCTCCTGGTCTCCCATGCGGGTGCAGGGCCCAAGCACTTGGGCCATCCTCCACTGCCCTCCCGGGCCACAGCAGAGAGCTGGACTGGAAGAGGAGCTACCAGGACAGAATCCGGCGCCCCAACCTGTACTAGAACCCGGGGTGCCGGCGCCGCAGGCAGAGTATTAGCCTAGTGAGCCGCGGCGCCGGCTATAAATGTTCTTTTTTAACAAAAGTTCCTTTTTTTTTTTTTTGACAGAATGCCAGGGTGTTTTTGTTTGTTTGTTTTTTGTTTTTGTTATATTTATTTGAAAAGCAGAATTACAGAGTGAAAGAGGGAAACAGAGTTCTTCCATCCACTGGTTCACTCCCCAAATGGGCACAACGGCCAAGGTAGGACCAGACTGAAGCCAGAGGCAGAAGTTTCTTCTGGGTCTCCCTCATGGGTGCAGGGCCGAGCACCTGGTCCATCTTCTGCTTTCCCAGGTGCATTAGCAAGGAGCTGGATCAGAAGTGGACAGCTGGGACTCAGTGCTGGTGGCTTTACCCACTATGCCACAGCACTGGCCCACAGGAAAAATCTTTACATTAGTACTGTACTTTGTATTATGAACACCTTTTAGTCTTAACATATTATATATTTTATTCCTGTAATAATTTTAGTGTAACTGTAGGATATTCTCAACATTTTTTGAAAGTTACTTTGTACCATGCCCTTGCTAATATGTTTGGTTTGTGTTTTAGGATGAAGTCAGAGAAAATATTGCTCGTGGAATGGCAATTTTAGGGCCCACATTCACCCTGGATGCTCTTGTTGAATGTCTTGTGATTGGAGTTGGTACCATGTCAGGTGTGTAAGCAATTTTTAATATATGTAAAACTAAATATGTCACTAAAGAGGTGGCAAGAATCTTGGAGTTCCGTTGTTTATTATTCTTAAAAAATTTTAAGTAACATATGCACCTATCTGACCTGAAGTCGCTTTGCTTTGGTGAAAACTTAGCAGATTACTGATTTTTCTCTCTTGCCATGTTTTTCCATGTTCACTTTGTGGTGTTTTGTTCATTTGTGAATTTGGCTAGAATAGATGAGACTTGGTGTCTTTTTTTTTTTTTTTTTTTTTTTGACAGGCAGAGTAGACAGAGAGAGAGAAAGGTCTTCCTTTGCCGTTGGTTCACCCTCCAGTGGCCGCCGCGACCGGCGCACCGCGCTGATCCGAAGGCAGGAGCCAGGTGCTTCTCCTGGTCTCCCATGCGGATGCAGGGCCCAAGCACTTGGGCCATCTTCCCTGGCACTCCCTGGCCACAGCAGAGAGCTGGCCTGGAAGAGGGGCAACTGGGACAGAATCCAGCGCCCCGACTGGGACTAGAACCCAGTGTGCCGGCGCCACAGGCGGAGGATTAGCCTAGTGAACCGCGGCGCCGGCAGTGTCTTGTTTTCATTGTCAGGTGGGAAGCAGTGCCTGAGTCAGGGGCTGGATAGTTGTGAGATCTGCCAAGTAGGTGTCGGGAGATTTAGTCAGACACTAAGCACACATACTAGTAAGTATCCAGCGTGGCCTCAACATACATGCTTCCTCATGCTTAACTGGATAGTAGAGAGATTTTAAATAGGAAACAGGACTCCATTATACTGGATAAAAATTATGGCATGGAATAGAAATCTGCCATAATGAATATATCATACTGTTGTGTCCTAATGACTAGGTCTAGATTTTATGGCTTTCTTGTGGACACTATATTTAATTAACTGCTGCTTTCCTGTATTTCCTTGTGTTTTAGTGTCATCAATAGGGGGCTTAAACTTTCAGAATTAAATGATTTTACTTTTAAAGGATAGTTGGTTGTCATTAGTTGAGGTTTTTCACTAGGTGATATATCAAACATATAATGCTTCTTCTAACTTTTTAAAGATTTATTCATTTATTTGAAAGAGTTACAGAGAGAGAGAGAGAGAGAGAGACAGATTTTCCCCCTGCTGGTTCACTCCCCAGACAATTGCAACAGCCAGCTATCTTCTGCTATTTTCCCAATTAGCAGGGAGCTGGATTGGAAGTGCAATAGCTGGGACATGAACCGTTGCCCAAGTAGGATGCCGACGTTGCAGGTGGTGGCTTTACCCAGTATATCTTAATGCTGGCTCTTCTGATTTCCTAAAGATAAATTGATTATTAAGTTAGTTATTCCATCATTCAACAGATAATTTTTTAATTTAGAAAAGTTAAACTTCAGGGGCTAGCACCGTGATGTAGTGGATAAATGCGCCAGTACCAGCATCCCATATGGGCATCGATTCGAGTCCCGGCTGCTCCACTTCCAATCCAGCTCTGTGCTGTGGCCTGGGGAAGCAGTGGAAGATGACCCAAGTCCCTGGGCTCCTGCATGCGCGTGAGAGACCCAGGGGAAGCTCCTGGCTTCAGATTGGTGTAGCTCTGGCCGGTGTGGCCAGCTGGGGAGTGAACCAGCAGATGGAAGACCTCTCTCTTTCTCTCTGCCTCTCCTTCTCTCTCTGTAATTCTGACTTTCAAATAATTAAATAAATCAATTTTTAAAAAAGGTTACACTTTAAAATTCAGTTTGTTGGGGTTACATTTTTGTGTTTTTTTGTCGTTTCTGTTTTTAATGAAAATATTTGAGAAACAGAGAGAGAAATTTCCCATCTTAGGCTTGCTTCCCAAATGCCTACAGTAGCTGGTGCTGGGCAAGGCCAGTGTTAGGAGCTAGATATTCATTCATTCATTCCAGGTCTCTGCTGTAGGTGGCAGGGAGCCAACGACTTGAGCCATCACTACTGCCTCCCAGGGGCACATTAGCAGGATGCTGGATTTAGGAGTGTAACCAGGACTCAACAGAGACAGTCTTATGAACACCATATAATCCAGAATGGTGACCAGGTGACTGCTGACAACCTAGAAGCTGTTCTTCATGACCTTGGCTATGTCAGTGCATTTTTTCTAGCATGAGAGTGTGTGAAAAGAGGATCAGCCAGGAAGGAGTAGTGGGCTGTTAAACCAAGGATCATTCATTGGAATCTGATGTGGAAAGCAGCAGGGTGATGAGCTTTGTCGTGATCAGATTTGCATGAAATGATTAGATACATAGCTGGAGAATCCAGTGAAGAGACATTTATAGCTCTACGGAAAGTAGGGATTTGGCTTAGAGTAGGAAAAAAAGGATAAACTTAGAACCACTTTAATTAGGAAGCAGCCCTTTGAAAAAGCCAGTACAGAACAAGTCTTAGATTCTTGGAAGTATATGGGTCAGTGCTGTCTCTGTGTGGTGGCCGAGTGGAAGAGGAGGGACAGAGAAGGGAAGAGTGCCTGGAGGACACCTGGCCAGCACCAGTTACTGTTGAGAAGAGAAGCATGGGATTGAAAAACTTGGGTCAAGAGGGTTTCCATGGACTTGAGTTTGAAAGGATTACATTCAGTCACTATTTCAAGTATAGGTTGGTTTATAATGTTTTTGTCATAGTAATTTTATAATTTCTTGAATTTCCTTATTTGAGAATAATTAATATGGAATCTTCAAAAAAAAAACCAAAATGTATGTTTTTGTTTGATTCAATCAAATGATGTGATTTAGAGAATGAAAATATAATTGATGTTTTCTTCAGTGTTTACATTTATCTAGTTGAAAGGCAGAGAGGGAGGGAGACGGAGATCCATTAACATTCCATCTGCTGGTTCACTCCCCAAATGCCTGCAATAGCCAGGGCTGGGCCAGGCCAAAGGCAGGAGCCAGGATTCCATCCAGGTCTCCCACACTGGTGACAGGGACCACATGCTTGGGCCAGCTTTCACGGTTTTTTCAGGTGTGTTAGCAGGGATCTGGATTGGAAGTGGAGCTGGTGGGACTTGAATTACGATCATATGGCATGGCGGCGTCATGGGTGATGGCTTAACTTGCTGTACCACAGTGCTGGCCCCAGAAAAGGGAATCCTTTTAAATTTATTTTTATTATTTGAGAGGCAGATAGCTCCCATCCAGTGATTCATTCCCCAGTTGCCCACAGTATCTAGGGTGGGGTTGGGATGGGACTGGGGCTGGAGCCTGAAACTGGGAATTCAACCCAGGTTGCTACCCATGTGGGTGGCAGGAACCCAGACCACTTGAGCCACCCACCTGCTTCACAGAATGTACATTAGCAGTACACTGGAGTCAAGAGCTGGAGATGGGAATGGAATCCAGGTCCTGATAAAGGACATGGAGCCTGTAACTGCTAGGCTCTGTGCCTGCTATCAGAATCATTTTTTATTTGTGTCTCAAAGCATTTTATTTTAAATGACATCCGAAATACATTTTATATTAATGAGTACTCCAGTGTATTTGTAAAGTAAGAGTAGGAATCAGTAGTGCAGTGTTGTCCATCCTCTGTACTTTGATTACCAAGTGATACCTTCAACATTTTCTGGTGTGACATGTTAATTTTTAATCATTTTTTTCAAACATAAATAAAATGACCAAAATTATTAGAACACCAGTCAGTACCGTATAGTATAGTTTATAGTGAAATTGGAATTTAGTGGTATACAGAAGTAACTACTTGATGCTACTTCAGAGGTGGCATAACTGGCAATATATTCCATTTTTATAAAAAGCCTTGGTTCTGAGAAGAATTGCTATTGTGGTAACAAGTGGGATTGAATTATTAGTATGACTGTGGGAGAATTCCTCCCTTGTAGCTAGTTCTCCCTATCTGTGTCTCAAAACAAGGAACCATTGGAGAAGTGGTGTAGTGTAGTGGGTTAAGTCGCTGCCTGCGATGCTGGCATCCCATATTGGTGTTGGTTCCAGTCCTTACTGCTTCATTTCCTGTCCAGCTCCCTGCTATTACCCTGGGAAAAGCAGTGGAAGATGCCACCTACTTTAGAGACCCATATGAAGCGCCCGGCTCCTGGCTTCAGCCTTGCCTAGTGCTGGCTATTGCCACCATCTGGGGTGTGAACCAGTAGGTGGAAGATTACTCTTTTTGTGTCTCCCTCTCTTTCTGTAACTCATTCAAAGTAAATCGTTAAGAGAAGAAAAAGAAAAACAAAGCAAGGAGCTGTTGAAAGAGGATTGGAAATGTATTATCAGTATGTATTGAATACACCCACTGTTCCTGGCATTGCGATTCTGGGGACGTGGGTGAAGGAAGTTCCAGTGTTGCACCTGCTGTTCTCAAGGGTGGTGTCACCTCTGAGTTCTTCATTCTCCTTTGAGTAAATGGCAGAGACTTAATGTGCTTGTGTTTCTAATGTCTTTGTCCAGCCCCCAGAACTCTCTGTGATAGGTGCAGCATCAAAGATGTACATACTTTGCTGTTTATACTGTAATTTGTTTTCTAACCAGGAGTGCGCCAGCTTGAAATCATGTGCTGCTTTGGCTGCATGTCAGTTCTTGCCAACTACTTCGTGTTCATGACTTTCTTCCCTGCTTGTGTGTCCTTGGTGTTAGAGGTAAGAATGGGTCATTTTAGGCCCTTGGTAGGGGAGTAGTGTTTCTCATTACATCAGCACGCCTAGGCAGACTGATCCTTCCTAATGTAAGTGACACTGACTTACTTTGTAGCTTTCCCGGGAAAGCCGAGAGGGTCGTCCAATTTGGCAGCTCAGCCATTTTGCCCGAGTGTTAGAAGAAGAAGAAAATAAACCAAATCCTGTAACTCAGAGGGTGAAGATGATTATGGTAATGACCGTTCTCTTCTCCCTTAGTATCTTCAGTTCTAATGTCATTCTTTTTTAAAATTTGCGTTTTTACTTCCTATTTTCTGTCTATAATTTTTGTTATTTTAGTACTATTCCACCTTCTTCCTCTTGTTCTTAACTTGTTCTTCATCCTTTGAGCCTCCTGGTCTTTATTAGTCTCTCTCACCTAAATAGATTTTTCAAGTTCCTCTGCCTTAGCTCTGTTTAAAAACCTGTTCTCTGGGGGATGTTTTCAGTGGTTCTTTGGTTTCAGTAGTAATGGACCTATTGCTTTGCTTGGACACCTGACAGGTCTGGGGGCTTTCTTTCCATGGGAGGGGAGCCCAGGGGACATGGGGTCTATCTTCGAGGTGCCAGCGATGAGAAGTTGAGGTTCCATTGATAGGGAAAGGATAATTACTTAAATTTTGTCTCAGTCTCTAGGCTTGGTTCTTGTTCATGCTCACAGTCGCTGGATAGCTGATCCTTCTCCTCAGAACAGTACAGCAGACAATTCTAAGGTTTCTTTAGGATTGGATGAAAATGTGTCCAAGAGAATTGAACCAAGTGTTTCCCTCTGGCAGTTTTATCTCTCTAAGTAAGTTAAGTGAAATCTTTTTGTCATTCTATGCTATTAAATAGATTGGATTGGACTTTTATGTGTCAGCAAAATAACATTTTAATTTGCTTTCTTTTGTTTAGAATGATCAGCATGGATATTGAACAAGTGATTACTCTAAGTTTAGCTCTTCTTCTGGCTGTCAAGTATATCTTCTTTGAACAAGCAGAAACGGAATCTACACTCTCATTAAAAAACCCTATCACATCTCCTGTAGTGACCCAAAAGAAAGTCCCAGACAGTTGTTGTAGACGTGAACCTGTGGTGGTCAGAAATAACCAGAAATTCTGTTCAGTGGAGGAAGAGGCAGGAATAAACCAAGAAAGAAAAGGTAATTCTTAGTCTCTTCACTCTCAGGTCTCCCGTTACTAATTTGTCAAAGTGTTGAGGTCAGTATTGTGACATCTCTTTTGCTTTCTTGGATAGTTGAGGTTATAAAGCCCTTAGTGGCTGAAACTGACTCCCCACACAGAGCTGCATTTGTGGTTGGTGGCTCCTCCTTTCCTGATACTTCGCTGGTACTGGAGACGAAGGAACCTGAGATTGAACTTCCCAAAGAGCCTCGGCCTAATGAAGAATGTCTGCAGATACTTGGGAATGCAGAGGTGAGAAATGGAACATAAACTCAAGCCTGGAGTTTTTCTTTACAAAAGAACTTTTTTGTTAAGGGGAGGAAAAACCAATATTCACTGAGTACTGTGTGAAGCACTGTCTCACGTGATTTACAGCACTGTCTATTCTCCACAATCATGAGAGGTCGTGGGGTTATCTCCATTTCTTAGCATGAATCCTGAGACTGCAAGAGATTTAAGTCATCTCCCCGAGTAGTGCTTGCATTTCTAGGAAGTGGTGAAGCTGGGGACAGAACCAGCCGTTCTCTGACTCTGCAGTCAGAAACGTCCTTGCTTATTGTTTATCACAGGGGAACAGCTGCTGTATTCTTTCCAGAGTGTGAGGGGGCTTAGAAAGGGCTCCACACAGAGTTAGAAAAGACTTATTTATTGATTTGAAAGAGTTACAGAGAGAGACAGAGATCTTCCATCCGCTGGTTCACTCTCCAGATGATCGCAACAGCTCCAGCACTGGGCCAGTCCAAAGCCAGGAGCCAGGAGCTTCTTCTGGGTCTCCAACGTGGGTGGTGTCTTCCGCTGCTTTCCCAGGCAGCGAGCAGGGAGCTGGATCAGAAGTGGAGCAGGTGGGACATGAACTATTGTCCATATGCTGTTATGGGCCTGGCTTTTACCCACTGCACCACAGTGCCAGCTACAAGAAAGTGTGTTTTTGCTTTATTTTGTGAGCTTGATGCTCATGAGGAAGCTTGATACCCTTCCTGAGGTTTGAACGCTGTTCTGATCACGTAAGTCCACTTACACCTTAGTGCAGATAGCACCTTCCATCCGTATTGCATAATCTAGCTAATCCTTTTAAAGAATATTTGACACAGGGCCAGCACTGTGGCACCTCCAGGTTAAGCCGGGCTCAGCTGCCTCCTGTGATGCTGGCATCCATGTGGGTGCTGGTTAGAGTCCCTGCTGCTCCACTTTGAATCCAACTCTGGGCTAATGCACCTGGGAAAGTAGGAGAGGATGGCCCCGGTGCTTGGGCCCCTGCTACCCAGGTGGGAGACCCAGATGAAGCTCCTGGCTGCTGGCTTTACCCTGGCCCAGCCCTGGCTGTTGAGGCCATTTGGCAAGTGGACCAGCAGATGGGAGATCTGTTTTTCTCTTTCCTTCTTTTTCTCTTAACTCTCAAATAAATGAATAAATCTTAACCTGCCATGCCACAGGGTGGCCCCTTGTTCTATTCAAATCATTTCCTTTCTTAGAAACTTAAAGCCCTCTAAGTTCTTCAGGTGCTTGTGTTTAATTTCAGGGGAGAGTTGATCTCCTCAACTGGACTGTCTACTATTGAGGGCCAGAATTTGTACATGTGGTTTGTAGTTTATATACAGAAGGTTTGCATTAGCCACTCCATGGAATAGGTAGACTTATTTACTGGTGAAATTTAGGCCTGAGGAGGGCAGGCCCACAGCAGAGTAGGGCAGCTGGAACTTAGCTCCTGAGGCTCCTGTCTCTGGCCCCTGCACTTTCCTGGAGTGCCTCCTAAAGCAAGCTGGCTCAGACAAGGCTTCCCTGCAGACTCTCAGGGCTGCTGACTGCCGTGTGCCTCCTAAAGCAAGCTGGCTCAGGCAAGGCTTCCCTGCAGACTCTCAGGGCTGCTGACTTCAAGACTGCCGTGTTTTTGCTTTGCCATAATTTATATAGTGCAACCATGTGATCTTTCAGGCTTGGGCTTTTTTTTTTTCTTTTTTTTCTTCCACTTGAAGGGATTTGTTACTGGGCAGGTTTATCAGCTGGGTGGTTCTGTAGTTTTTCTTAAGAGTATCTGATGTTTGGAATTTCCAACTTTGATTGGTCAGCTGCTGAATTCACATGTGTGTGACATGGGTTTGCATTGTGGTTGCATGCTAGAATTCTTTCATTGTGTTCTTTAGTCAGGGGCTTTTTGCTGAACCCGGTCATGGTTCTCCAGAGTACTCCACTCTGGCTGCCTTTGTTCGTGTCCCTGAAGCACATCTCCAGTCTTCAGGCAGATGCTGCCATCCTGTGAAACACTGGCTTCTCCAAGCAGGAGGAGCCTTTCTGTACTGCAGGTCCTTCTCTGGACTGTGCACTTCATGGCAGTTGTATCCTCTTTCTTTTCTGTATCACATGTTTACTTGATTCTTAGACCTCACACTCCTTGAAGGTTGGGTCCATAGAGGGTCTTTAGGGTTAGTAGATGCTCAGTAAATTTCCAAAGAATGACTTGTTACTGGAGAATCAAAGGGTCCTTGTCTTTGCACAAAAAAGAATTCAGGCATGAGACAGCCGTGGAAAGCAAAATAGCAAGGTTTATTAGGGAAGGGGCATCTGTAAAAACAGATGGGCACCTCTCCAGACAGAACCTGAGAGAGAGTGTGCAGTTCACATTCAGGCTGGGTTTTTAAGGGGTTGGGTCTTGCCTTCCCGCCTTTTCTCTCCCCCACTCATTCTTCTCCTCCCGAACAAAGGACTTGTTGGGTATAAATATGAAAAATTCCTTTCTGAGTTTTTCCCCCTGAAGTTATCAGACAGGGGAAGCCTGGCTGGCGTCACCCCGTCTTAGAGAAATGATGTTTATCAGGTCAGGTAGAAGGGTCTGGACTCCCTGGAAGCTCATCAGGATCCAGGCGGGACTTTGCAGATACTAGGCTGCACCTGGAAGGTTATCGGGGTGACTTTCACATGCGGATCTGAACCGCTGTAGATGTCAGTTCCTTAGTTAGGCCTTTGTCACACACATAAGCTCATTTCTGACTCCCTACCTTAACAGAGTTTGCATTTGTAATGTACAAACCAGCTAATATTTACCTTAATATCTGTAGAAAAACTAGATCTGTTAATAAAGCTATAAGTAGTATTCATAAAATTGAATTAGTTATGGTGCTAACCCATGAAGGTGCTAATTTTTTTTTTTTTTTTTTTTGACAGATAGAGTTAGTGTGAGAGAAAGGTCTTCCTTCCATTGGTTCACCCCCAAAATGGCCGCTATGGCCAGCGCTGTGCCGATCCGAAGCCAGAGCCAGGTGCTTTTCCTGGTCTCCCACACGGGTGCAGGCGCCCAAGCACCTGGGCCATCCTCCACTGCCTTTCCAGGCCACAGCAGAGAGCTGGACTGGAAGAGGAGCAACCGGGACTAGAACCCGGCGCCCACATGGGATGCCAGTGCCGCAGGCAGAGGATTAACCAAGTGAGCCACGGTGCCGGCCCTGAAGGTGCTAATTTTCAAAATACAACTAATAAACCAAAGGAAACTACTGGTCATTTATAACTCAGGGTAGAGGTTCTATTTCCCTCACTCTTTGTTGGAACTGACTTTTTTTTTTTTTTTTTTTTTAAGATTTTATTTATTTTTATTTGAGAGGTAGAGTTACAGACAGTGAGAGGGAGAGACAGAGAGAAAGGTCTTCCTTCCATCGGTTCACTCGCCAAATGGCCGCAGCAGTCGTAACTGCACTGATCCAAAGCCAGGAGCGAGGCTCTTCTTCCTGGTCTCCCATATGAGTGCAGGGGCCCAAGGGCCTGGACCATCTTCCACTGTTTCCCCAGGCCATAGCAGAGAGCTGGAGGAGAAGTAGTGCAGCTGAGAATAGAACCAGTGCCCATATGGGATGCCGGCACCTCAGGCGGAGGATTAACCTACTGTGCCACAGCGCTGGTCCCTTTTTTTTTTTTTTTCTTTTTTTTAAGATTTATTTATTTGAAAGGCAGAGTTACAGAGAGACAGAGGCAAAGAAAACCGTCTTCTCTCTCATGGTTCATTCCCCAAATGGCCACAACAGCCCGAGCTGAGCTGATCTGAAGCCAGGAGCCCACGAGCTTCTTCTGGGTCTCCCACTCAGGTGCTGGGGTCCAAGTACTTGGGTTATCTTCTGCTGATTTCCCAGGCCATAGCAGAGAGCTAGATTGAAAGTGGAGCAGCCAGGACTTGAACTGGCACCCACATGGGATGCCGATACTGCAGGTGGCGGCTTTACCCAATACACCACAGTGTTAGCCCCTCCCTCCCTCTCTCCCTCCTCTGTGAAGTGCTGCTACCAGGTGATGAGATTAGATTTTAGCAGCGCATGTGGAACACGCATTTCACTTAGCAAAGAAGCTACCTGAGATGCCCACATACCGGAGGGCCTAGGTTTGATTCCTCTGGCTCCTAACTCCAGCTTCCTGGTAATGTGCACCCTGAGAGGCAGCAGTGGGGACTCAAGTGGTGGGGTCCCTGCCACCCATGTGGGAGACCTGGATTGAGTTCTCAGCCCTGGCTGTCAGAAGCATTTGGAGAGTGAACCAACAGATGGGAGATCTCTATAAGTAAAATTAAAAGTGCACATAGAATGTCAGCTTTCAGAAAAAGAAATATGAATAGCTTCTTTTAATAAAAGATTTGTTTATTTGAAAGGCAGAGTTAGAGAGAGGAGAGATCAAGAGATCTAGAGATATTCTATCCACTGTTCACTCCCCAAATGGCTACAATGGCCGGAGCTGGGCCAATCCGAAGCCAGGAGCTTCCTTCAGGTCTCCCACGTTTGAGCTGTTCTGTTTTCCCAGGTGCACTAGCAGGAAGCTGGATCGTAAAGGGAGCAGCAAGCATTAGAACTGGCACCCAGGCCGGTGCCGCGGCTCACTAGGCTAATCCTCTGCCTTGCGGCGCCGGCACACCGGGTTCTAGTCCCAGTCGGGGCGCCGGGTTCTGTCCCGGTTGCCCCTCTTCCAGGCCAGCCCTCTGCTGTGGCCAGGGAGTGCAGTGGAGGATGGCCCAAGTGCTTGGACCCTGCACCCCATGGGAGACCAGGATAAGTACCTGGCTCCTGCCATCGGATCAGCACGGTGCACCGGCCGCAGCGCGCCGCCACGGTGGCCATTGGAGGGTGAACCAACGGCAAAAGGAAGACCTTTCTCTCTCTCTCGCTCTCTCTCACTGTCCACTCTGCCTGTCAAAAAAAAAAAAAAAAAAAGAACTGGCACCCATGTAGGATGCTGGTTGCACTTACTCACTACACTGCAGCACCAGCTCTTATGAATAGCTCTTACAAATGTGAAAAGATGATCAGCCTCACCCTAAGAGAAATGCAGATTCAAACTATACTTGAAATATTTTGGCCGGCGCCACGGCTCAATAGGCTAATCCTCTGCCTGGGTGCCGGCACACCGGGTTCTAGTTCCGGTAGGGGCACCAGATTCTGTCCCGGTTGCTGCTCTTCCAGTCTAGCTCTCTGCTGTGGCCTGGGAAGGCAGTGGAGGATGGCCCAAGTCCTTGGGCCCTGCACCCGCATGGGAGACCAGGAGAAACACCTGGCTCCTGGTTTCGGATTGGTGCAGCGTGCCAGCCGTAGTGGCCACTTGTGGGGTAAACCAATGGAAAAAGGAAGACCTTTCTCTATGTCTCTCTGTCTAACTCTGCCTGTCAATAAAAAAAAAAAAAAAATTATGAGAAAGACTTTCAGTTCTATATCACTACATATATTTTTTTAACCATGTGAATATATTACCTGTTTAAAGCGTTTATGAAACTTTACTATCATTCACATGGTAGCTGTAAAGTTTGACACGCTAGAGCTCTGCAGAATTGCATCTTTCTTTGTTAAAATTTGAGAGACAGAGTATTCCCTACTGCTGTCTTTTTTTTTTTTTTTTTTTTTTTTTTTTTGACAGGCAGAGTGGACAGTGAGAGAGAGAGACAGAGAGAAAGGTCTTCCTTTTTTGCCGTTGGTTCACCCTCCAATGGCCGCCGCGGCTGGCGCGCTGCGGCCGGCGCACCGCGCTGATCCGATGGCAGGAGCCAGGATCCAGGTGCTTTTCCTGGTCTCCCATGGGGTGCAGGGCCCAAGCACCTGGGCCATCCTCCACTGCACTCCCTGGCCATAGCAGAGAGCTGGCCTGGAAGAGGGGCAACCGGGACAGAATCCGGCGCCCCGACCGGGACTAGAACCCGGTGTGCCGGCGCCGCAAGGTGGAGGATTAGCCTATTGAGCCACGGCGCCGGCCCCCTACTGCTGTCTTACTCCTCAGGTGGTTGAGGCTGGGTCCAGGCCCAAGATAGGAGCTGGGAAAGCAAATCCAGGTCTCCCATGTGGGTGACAGAAACCCACCTGTACATCACCTGTTATCTGTCGGGATCTACACTGGCAGGAAGCGGGAATCAGAACCAAGCATTGAATCAAAGTGCTGCCACCTGGGGTGCAGGCATGCAATTGCTGGGCTAAAAGAAACACTTGCTCCTTTACTGTGTATTGATGCAAGTACTGTCTAGGCTATAAAGACCACAGTGATAAGGTATTATGATTTTCATTTGGCTTTGTGTTTTTTTTTTTTTTTTAAAGATCTCCTTGTACTAAAAAACTGTAGTGAAAAAATAGAAAAGATTTATGTTATTTTAATTTAGCGTTATTTGTGTTAAGTGGCTTACATATTATAAATACTATGAAGTACAGTTTTTCAAGTCTTCTGTCATCTAACTTCTCTCCCATTGTCCTCCCATTTCTTTAGAAAGGTGCAAAATTCCTTAGTGATGCTGAGATCATCCAGTTAGTTAATGCAAAGCATATCCCAGCCTACAAATTGGAGACCCTGATGGAAACCCACGAACGAGGTGTATCTATTCGTCGACAGTTACTTTCCAAAAAGCTTCCAGAGCCTTCTTCTCTCCAGTACCTACCCTATAGGGATTATAATTACTCCCTGGTATGTGGTTTTTTTGATTAGAGGTTTGCTTTGTGGGTTTTTTTTTTAGTCTTTGTAAAAATTACATATATAGTTTTATAAAACATTTTATTTTGAATAGTTCTAGTGTAATTTATAAAACATTTTTTGCTGTTATAGTCAGTTTTCTAAGATCCTAGTTTTTTCCAGCACTTTGAAAGAGTAAATTAAATGTTGTTGATAGACGAAGGATGAAGTCTGGAGCAAGTGACTGACGCAGGCTGAGGTGAGCGGCTGTGTGCAGATGCCCTGTGCCTCCTTTGCCCATCAGGTGCTGGGTGCCTGCTGTGAGAACGTGATTGGGTACATGCCCATCCCCGTGGGAGTGGTGGGACCTCTCTGCTTGGATGGAAAGGAATTCCAGGTTCCCATGGCAACAACAGAAGGCTGTCTGGTGGCCAGCACTAACAGAGGCTGCCGGGCAATATGTGTAAGTCGGGATTTACCCTTTTGCCTGTTTTCAAGTACAAGGTGACAAGAAGAGATCTGGAGATAGGGACACCTTTGGGGTCACATGAGTTCAGGCTAACATGTGCTTCTGTGACATGACTCTGCACAGCTTGGTGGCGGTGCCAGCAGCCGAGTCCTTGCAGACGGAATGACGCGTGGCCCAGTCGTGCGTCTTCCCCGTGCTTGTGACTCTGCAGAAGTGAAGGCCTGGCTCGAAACCCCAGAAGGGTTCGCAGTGATAAAGGAGGCATTTGATAGCACTAGCAGGTATGTGAGTGGGTTTCTTTATTTGCTTGTATTTCAGAACCAGTGCCTTTTTCAGCCTTTTTCAATTGCTAAACATAATTGCATTCGTAAGACACCACCACAAAATACCCACTTTAAACCCATTTATTCAAGATGAGTAATATTTATGCTTGGTGGGAAGGAGAAGAAACAATGTTGATTCAGACAGAGATGCCCACACCCTGTGCAGCCTAGTCTTAGCTTTGTCAGCAAGGCACTAGTAGGATGAGTGTTGGGTCCAGTGGGTTAAGGTGTTTCAGATACCTGTATTCCATGTCAGAGTGCCATAGACCCCTCTTGTGCTGTGTCTCAGAATGAGACAGTTAAAATAGAAGAAAACAGTTTATCCTACATGTTTCGTTCACAGATTTGCCCGTCTGCAGAAACTTCATATAAGTATGGCTGGACGCAATCTTTATATCCGTTTCCAGTCCAGGACTGGGGATGCCATGGGGATGAACATGATTTCAAAGGTGAGCATGGACGGACTGTATGGAAAAGGATAGACACAAAACTTGTAAAAGTAATCTTCACTCATAGAATGACAGTTGCTTTAAGTAGCACTCTGACCTCAGAATCAACACTTAAGCATCCTAGTCCAGCTGAAAAGCCCATGAGAGCATTTCAGGCATGGAAAGCCAAGACACTGTGGCAAAATATATTCTGCCTGGAGGACCTTTGTGAGATCTCAGTGGAAAGAAGTGGCCATCAAAGAAGGATGTACTTTGCTCTGAAAGGAGGAGAAAACTCCCATTTTGCTTATGGCCTTATCTAAATACTGATGGAGTTTATGGATTCACAAGGCTTCCTTAGCCTAGGCAGCTCATGTCTAGAGCCTCAGGTGGTCACTGACATCATAAATAAGAGTAGTAATTGTTAAATTAACAACAGGAGTCACTGCACTTACTTCCCATGCAGGACTTATGTCTGTCCTCAGTGAGTTGTATTATGACAGTGTGTGTGCACATGTTCGCAAATTGTTGTCTTTACTTGGTGTAGAGTTGGTCTTTTGTGTATAAAGTTAATTGAAAATGAATCTTAATGGAGAATGGGACTGGGAATAGGAGAGGGAGGAGAAGGTAGGGTGAGAGTGTGGGTATGGTGGGAAGAATCACTATATTCCTAAAGTTGTACTTACCAAGTTTGTATTCCTGAGATAAAAGGTTTAAACTTTGGGGGACAAGAAAAATTGTCACAGGAGGGCAGGAAGATGGATAAGACTTGTCTTCATGGACAAATGACAGTTCATGTTTATGGATCACTTAATTATTTCCTAAGAAGTCTGTGTAAGGCTTTCATTTTATTCTACTTGTATTTATTACAAGATACAATGTTCAACCCATCCTGTCAGGCTGTGTGGTTTGTGTGTTGATAAAGGTTATCTAGAAAGAGAAGATAGTGATTAAATGTATAAGCTTTAAAAATTGTCAGTAAATGGTATGGTGGTTTCTCAATGGCTTGACAGTGGAACTGCCATAGGCTCTAGCAATTCTGCTGTAAACCCAGGAAAACTGAAAGCAGGGTCCTGCCGAGATGAGTGTGCCCGTGTCCACCGCAGGACAGAGCCACAGCAACAGCAGGTACCCACTGATGATGAGTGGACAGGTGACATACATATGTATTATGTGTTTCTCAGCCTTAGGAAGGAAGGGAGTTCTGACACCTGCTATCATGGGTGATCCTTGAGGACGCTGTGATTGGTGAAATGAGCCAGTTATGAAAAGACCGCGTGCTACTGTTCACATGAGGTCTCTGAAGATGTCAGGGACAGAAAGTGGGGGTCACCAGGGATTGCAGAGGAGTGGCGAGCAGGGAATTGTTCAGTGGGTTGTGGAGTTGCCGCTCTTTATAAGGCTGAAAGTTCTGAGGATCGGTGCACTCTAGTGAACGTCCATGACAGGTTGGGACAATAAACTTTGTGTATTTGACAATTAAAGTGTTCAGCTGCCAGAGTGTTGTGTGCTATCGAGATGCGTGTAGTTAATTACTTTCACTCATTTGGATGTCTTTGCAAGGCCTGTTTCCAGTATGCCATGTAAATCCTAGCAGCTCTTGCACAGACAAGACTGACTTGAACCACTCACTGCTCTCCACAGATTCGGTAACTGGGCTTTTAGATAACTGTAGCTAGCGTGGCTCTTCACTGCATGCTGAGTTACGCCCCAGTGACGTGGGAATGTTTTACACACTCATTGAGTATGGCTAACTATATTCAGAACTATTTCATAGATAGGAAGAAACCCTCTAGTCTAAAAAGGTGACTACTTCCTGCATAGTAATGTGGTGGTGTTGTTGACAGGGTACAGAAAAAGCGCTCTCCAAGCTGCATGAGTATTTCCCTGAAATGCAGATTCTGGCAGTCAGTGGCAACTACTGCACTGACAAGAAGCCTGCTGCTGTCAACTGGATAGAGGGGCGAGGAAAGACTGTTGTCTGTGAGGCTGTCATTCCAGCCAAGGTTGTCAGAGAGGTGAGTGTTGCAATGAATGTCTTTATTTTATTTATTTTTTGACAGAGTAGATAGAGAGAGAGACAGAGAGAAAGGTCTTCCTTTGCCGTTGGTTCACCCTCCAATGGCCGCCATGGCCGGCGCGCTGCGGCCGGCACACCGCGCTGATCCAAAGGCAGGAGCCAGGTGCTTCTCCTGGTCTCCCATGGGGTGCAGGGCCCAAGCACTTGGGCCATCCTCCACTGCACTCCCGGGCCACAGCAGAGAGCTGGCCTGGAAGAGGGGCAACCGGGACAGAATCCAGCGCCCCGACCGGGACTAGAACCTGGTGTGCCGGCGCCGCAAGGCGGAGGATTAGCCTAGTGAGCCACGACGCCAGCCATGAATGTCTTTATTTTATAATGTTTGGATTTAAAAATTGGGGAAAGTAGTATTAAAGTATTAAATAGAATTAGATACATGGGGTTGTGTTTTCCATTGGCGATGACATTTTCATTGTACCATATCCATCTGTCTGTATGTGGGGGAAAAAATTCTTTTTTTTTTTTTTCCTATTAAGGACAGGACTATTAAGGAAAAGAGGTGGGTCCATTTAAGATTCATTTTTTTATTTGAAAAGCAGAATTAGAGACAGGAATGTTCCATCCGCTGGTTCACCCTCCAAATGGACACAGTAGCTGGAGCTGGACTAATCTGAAGGCAGGTGCAGTAGCAGGGAGCTGGATTGGAAATGGAGCAGCTGGGACTCGATCTGGTACCCTTGGGATGCCGGTGCTGCAGGCGGCAGCTTTACAGGCTACATCACAGCACCGGCTCTGACTCCTTGCTTTCAGGAGCCACAGCTAGACCAGAGGGAAAATGTGAATGTGCACAATTCTGTTTTGCAGGTGTTGAAGACCACCACAGAGGCAATGATTGACGTCAACATTAACAAGAATCTGGTGGGCTCTGCCATGGCTGGGAGCATAGGTGGCTACAACGCCCATGCAGCCAACGTTGTCACTGCTATCTACATTGCCTGTGGACAGGTGAGCTCCCAGCCTCCACTCCTCGTCTTTCCCGTGTTCTGAGTGGAGGAGTACAGTGTGTCGTTTCCTTCTCAGGATGCAGCACAGAACGTGGGTAGTTCAAACTGCATTACTTTGATGGAAGCAAGTGGCCCAGCCAACGAGGACTTGTACATCAGCTGCACCATGCCATCCATAGAGATCGGAACCGTGGGTGGCGGGACCAACCTCCTGCCTCAGCAGGCCTGTTTGCAGGTACGCGCAGCCAGCTCCTCCCCTGGTTCTACTGGGTACTTCACATCACTCCTCTCTGCATTTGAGCTGGTTTTGGTTCTCATTTTTCCTACTAGCTTAACTCCACCAGAGCATGGACACTACAGCATGTTGAAGCATATGCTTAGCAAATTGAGAGAGCACTAATGCATGTCCACTTGGAGTCGATTGTGACTATCCTTAGCTGTGGTGTTTGCACTGCACTGTTAGTCCTGGCTGTCAGGTCTTAGAAATTTAATCCCTTGCACCGGTTCTGTCCCGGTTGCCCCTCTTCCAGTCCAGCTTTCTGCTGTGGACCAGGAAGGCAGTGGAGGATGGCCCAAGTGCTTGGGCCCTGCACCCGCATGGGAGACCAGGAGGAAGCACCTGGCTTTGGATTGGTGCAGCGCCAGCCGTTGTGGCCACTTGGGGAGTGAACCAATAGAGGGAAGACCTCTCTCCCTCACTGTCTAACTGCCTGTCCAAAAAAAAAAAAAAAAAAGTTTTAATTCCACAGTGTAGTCTAGTTCTAGAAATTGCTGGTTTTGACTCACTGTTGATTCTTGTTGTGTTCTTCTCTGGCTGCAGATGCTGGGTGTCCAGGGAGCCTGCAAGGACAGCCCAGGGGAGAACGCCCGGCAGCTCGCCCGGATAGTGTGTGGGACAGTGATGGCAGGGGAGCTGTCCCTGATGGCAGCACTGGCAGCTGGACATCTTGTCAAAAGTCACATGATTCACAACAGGTACGTCTTCCTGTCTACACTGTGTGTTCCCTGTACCTCAAAAACTGTGCAGCATAAAAACCTGTGCCTCAGATACAGCAGTCGGATGATGATTTTGTATTCTTGACACCCTGTGCATTGCTGCTTTGTCTCTCTCTGCCGCAGGTCAAAGATCAATTTACAAGATCTCGAAGGAGCTTGCACCAAGAAGGCAGCGTGACTAGCCTGGCAGCTGGGAACTGGACTCCGTGGGCACTGGGTTCTAAAGGACTAACATAAAGTCTGTGAATTAAAAATCTCAATGCAGTGTCTCGGTGAAGATGAGTGGACACGACCGGGCGATGGCTGCTTGGTGTTGGGCTCTCGCAGAGGTTGGGTCCTTTCCTTGCAGACCGCTCAGATCTGAACCATGTTAGCGCTTTACGTGCTGTGTGCTTTGGGACGATTTCTCCACGGATCCTGGGCTTCAGCGCACCAGTCAGCTGCAGTTCACTTGTGAAAGCAGAGACAAGCTGGGGAAAATTCCTTTCTTTTGATGAAGAGCGTAGTGATCAGGATGAGATTGCTCTCCCGTTGCAGTCCCCGTGGGCTGAAAATGGATTTTTAAATTATATTGTAGATGACAAAACTGCTGATTTTATAGTTAATTTATTATTCAGTCTGAGCGGTAGAACTTTAAGAGCTATGTTTATTTTTTTGTAAAGCTAATACTCCATTTGGTGCTGGTCTAGTTTGGTTTCGGGAGTCACTAACATGATTCCAGGGGCCCTGCCTCTGAGGGAAGAGACTCTCACCCCCACTGCAGAGTACTGCACCAAGCAGGGCAGAGTAGCTCTGTTCAGGAAAACCCACCTCTGCGCTTACCTCCCTGGGCCGTTCGCTCCGAGGGGCCGTTCGTCTGGGTGCCGTGTCTGTCTCGATTGGCTGTGACGGTCTCAGCACTGGGCGCTAGGAGACAGCGCTGTGCGCTCTGCTGAAGGTGCCAGAGCTTAGACAAGGCGACGGTCGAGCACGAACAAGAACTCAGCGTGGAGTTTTCAAAGGAAAATACCGTTTCTCTAAGCCGACTTTAATTTCTTACAGGACATTTTAATTTATCTAGCTGAAAAATCTAGAGTTTTTTTGTAAGCAGCTCTATCAGATCTGTAAATGTTGTAATAAAGCTTCTTAAGCTGGGAGATGACTGAAAATAGAGTTCAAGAATTAAAGACCAATCAGTTTGTATCCTGAGAAAACATTCTAGCTTGAGCCAGAACGCAGTTTCCTGTCGTGTGACCCAGGAAGCCAGCGAGGGAGGGTCAGCGGGCAGAGCCAGCGAGGGCCCTGAGTCAGTGCCTTGTTCCTGTGGCCAGGATGCTGGGGACTGAGCACTTGATGGATCCAGGACAGCTCTCAGCTTCCTCAGGGGCTCAGCAGAGTTGTCGAAGCCTACCTTTTTGTTCATGGGAAAGTTTTGTATAAATAAAGAACTGCTTTATTTTGCATTCCATCTGACGCCTCAAGTGTGGAAGACAGATCCGCGGAGCGACGGGCAAGGCGGTGGCAGCGTGCGGAGCCCAGTGGCCGCCCCGCCGCGGCTTCCGACGCCTCTGTTGCTTTCCAGCAGTGGCGGACTCAGCAGTCTCTTCATGTGGCGACTGTCACCAGTTTCATTGTGCTAAATCAGTGTTTTGTACGATTACTAAATTGTATACATTTTGTTAAGAGTACTTTTTCTCAGTTCCAGTAAATTAATTATGAAGAGGAAGTTAATCCTGGTAAGTGTGCTAGTAGCGTTTCTTTCTTGGTGTAAGCCTGCAGTCTGTGCGGTCTGACCAGGGCAAGCAGCAGCGACCGCCGCGCCCCGCGGCCCACAGTGGACATGGCAGGTTGGAGCTGCGTGTGCACTGATGGTTCTCAACACCGAGAGGGCTGCTGATGTCGAATTCACAGTCTCCACCAGACTTCTTTCAGACAGTGTCAAGGCGGGTGGGGTGAGGAGGAAGGGGAGGGATGGAGTGTGCAACAGGCTCGTGTGAGAGCTATGAAGCCCGAGGCCCAGATGCTAGGCGGCCATTTGAATTTTTCGCTGAAATGACCTAGTGTGGGTGCTGCCCGCTCCACAGCCGAGGTGGCAACAGGAGACGGTGCAGGAGTTGAAAGAGCTGTGCTCGGGGGCCTGATGAGCGCTAGGACTGTTCTGAGTCTTAGGCGGACAAAGGAAGCAGCCCGCAGTGACGGGTCAGCCCACAGGACGACAGAAGGAGCACTCACGTCACTGTCCGGACACTGAAGTCAGCAGGAAGCTCACTGAATGTCCTCTCCTCAGACTGCTCCTGCTCTAGCTGGAAAAGGCCAGAAGGTATTAATAGTAAACTTCTCCCAGTTGGTAGAAGTAGCAGGTAAACTTTCACAGTGGGAGCCAGGGATGTAGTTTGCAGTGCACACGTTTTAGGTGCAACCTTCCTTTTGCATTGTGCTGCCCAGGGAACACACACCCTCCCCTCACTGCGCCTGGCTGGTCTGAGCGCCGCTGTGGGAGGTATGGGCACAAGGCAGATGGCTGAGAAGTTTTCTGAACAGCTGCTCCCCACAAGAGTAAAAGAGCCTTGGGCCAAGCAGACAGACAGGAGGCAGAGTGCAAAAGGCTGCCCCGACACGATGGTTCTCACTAGAAACAGGCTGCTGGCCCTGGTCTGACGAGCAGAGCCAGCCCTGGCGGTTCTAGCCACCTAGTAAGTCCCGCTGTTGTGCTGGCACTTAATTTTAGTGTCTAATGAGCAGTATTAGAAAATTGTGTTTATTGTTGGTGAAAACCTAACACACAAAATCCAAGAGCAGCAAGAAGGGCCATTTTGGTTCTCAGTTTCAGATCGCCGTCCACGACTGGACAGCCCCATTGGTCTGATGTCTGATGAGCTTGGCAAATGGTGGAATGATACATGCAGAGGGAGGATGAGCCCCCCCAAAGACATACAAACACCCACTAGGCTGCGCCTTTGGATCCCGTAATTGTCTCAAGCCCCCACCTTTAGCCCATTTGCAATTAACATTAATCTGTTAACCAGTAACATATAACGGGGGAGAGCCAAGTCCTGGTCAAACGTGGTATTTTCTAATGCTCTTAAAAGTTTAGCTGGAAGGCCGGCGCCGCGGCTCACTAGGCTAATCCTCCGCCTAGCGGCGCCGGCACACCGGGTTCTAGTCCCGGTCGGGGCGCCGGATTCTGTCCCGGTTGCCCCTCTTCCAGGCCAGCCCTCTGCTGTGGCCAGGGAGTGCAGTGGAGGATGGCCCAGGTGCTTGGGCCCTGCACCCCATGGGAGACCAGGAAAAGCACCTGGCTCCTGGCTCCTGCCATCGGATCAGCGCGGTGCGCCGGCCGCAGCGCGCCGGCCGCGGCAGCCATTGGAGGGTGAACCAACGGCAAAGGAAGACCTTTCTCTCTGTCTCTCTCTCACTGTCCACTCTGCCTGTCAAAAAAAAAAAAAAAAAAAAGTTTAGCTGGAATTCATCCTAGAGAAATGTAATAATTAGAAAAGTATTTTAGTGTTCCCACCACCTCCTTCCCCCTAGCTGCTGAACAACACTGAAATTCTCGTCTTCGACATGGAAGGGGCTGCCCCAGAGAAAGAAGACACTTGGAACTACATCGTCTCTGTTCTTGCACTCTGTCCCAAAGGGCTTCAAACTCCAAGAAGCTGTCCTTCCAGGAGGACGATGCCAACACTGTCTTCACCATCAGCACCCACCTGCCCTGTAGCCCCGAAGTTTCCAAGCTGGGAACTTAAAAGAGTCACAGTACCTGGGCAGGACGCCTACCCCACAAAAGCATCTAGACAATTCTGAAGTCCACTGGCAGCAAAGCGTATAGGTGTGTATCTGAAGCAGGATAAGCCACCTACCTGTGTTCACTGCACACTGCTTTGCTTCCATGCAAATCTGAAACTAAACAGGGCTGAGAGAGGATGCCATGGTGGGGCTCAGTGTCCACTCTAGGTATGCAGTGGGGGCACTGGATGCAGTAAAGCAGCTCCCCAGTTTCGGCCCTGCACGGTCTATGATGGAGAGGACTCCACTCCCGCGCTTCTTCATGGCCTTGGTGCTTACCAAGGAGATACCAGGAGCGCTGCCTTTCTGCTCATTTATCGTCTGGACTGGACTGGAGCTGTGGCCCAAAAAGGGTCTTAGAGTGGACCTGTCCATGCGCTTGTTGCCCCAGCCTCCTCGGGCCTCAGGCACAGCACGCTCATGCTAGAACCATCGCTCCTCCCAGGAAGCCATCAGGGCCGAGCGGCCATCCACCTCAGGCCACGGCTCCTTCAGCAGAGCTGGGCACCGTTTCCCACAGTGCACAACCGTAAGCAGCCAGTTAGGCAATCTTAAGTGGACAGCCTTGGCAGAGCCCAACTCTGACTTGCCCAGGATAGCACCTCTGTAGCCACCTCTAAGTGGAAGCCAGACCTTGCACATAACATAGGCCTCAGAAGAGTGGCCTGGGACACACATCACCAATACGTCTTTCTTGATGAGTTACACTGAATTATTAACTATAAAAAAAATGACAAACGCAAGTTGTTAAAATCTTTTTCTTCCTGTACTCTTACAAGTCGTCCCACGTTTCCTCTGGCCTGCAGTCTCCTGAAGACAGGGCTGCTGCTTTTCTTGTCACCTTAGAACCAGTGCCCAAGGCCCTGGGGGACTGCTGAGCGGCCACAGGGTGTTACTGTAGTCAGCCCTCAGGCCAAGGAGACAGTAACAGGGGAAGGGCGGAGCCTGGAGCCAGGTACCAACATTCCAATGCGTTAGCTGTGGGGCTGTCAGGTCATTTTTTTCTTTTCTTTTCTTTTTTTTTAAATATAAGAGGCAGAGAAAAATCTCCCATCTTCGGGTTCACTCCCTAAATGCCCCTACTGGTCAGGACTGGACTGGGCCAAGACCTGGGAACTCAACCTGGGTCTCCCACATGGGGGGCATGAGCCGTCACTGCAGCTTCCGGAATATTAGCAGGAAGCACTGAACCCAGGCACCCTGATGTGGGATGTGGGCGAGTGCCGGCCGTTCAGTGCCCTGATCTCTAAGACGAAGCAGCTGGACTAGCTGTCTCCTCCCAGAGCACCTCTGATGCAGCCGACTTGGGGAGCGGGCCGCACCTACCCCGGGCACACCAACCCCCCAGCTCTCCTCAGAAGCTGCACCCTCTCTAGTCCAGAGCCCCAACCATCAGCCTGCCGCCTCCCTGCTGGGGACATGGAGGAGGGGGATGCAGTAGGTCTCATCCTCCAGCGTCACCCTGCAGGTCCCCTCTGCTCCTCCAGTGCCACACGCCCCTCCCTGTTAGGCCTTACCTGACTGGTGCAGCCAACACCGCACACAGGCAGTGCCACAGCAGACGGCTAAGCCTGCACACACCCAGGAAGTCGCGGGGCTGGTCTCAGCTGGGCAGCGGGGGGGGGGGGGGAACCAGCCCTTCCTTAGAAGGGAACGGTGTGGGGGGGTCTGCTGTGCCAAGAAGCTCCTGGCTCCCATGTGGCCCAGCCCTGGTGGTTGCAGCCATCTGAGGAGGAAACCAGCAGATGGATTCCCGTCCTCCCTCCTCCCACCCCGAACTATGCCTTTCAAACAGATCTTTAAAAAAAAAAAAGCTCTCCTCTCTCCATTCCCAACAATGGAATGGTAATCATTTTCAAGTAGAAAACAATACTGTTTGATTTATTCCACTTCCAAGTCCAACTGATGTTGCTTGGATGTGCTCGGGGCGTTACCAGTGCTGCGCCTGTTGCACACACCCTTCTGGACGTGTCCTGCCTGAACAAGAGTCTCCATTCTGCTGACAGTCCCGACACGTGTCCAGTGTCAGCACGCCTGTGCCGTGCGCACCCTCCCATGGCAGCGCTTACCCACTCCCGTAGTGGCCTTGAGGATCCAACAGCCCGCCACGGCAGGTGGCTGTGACCAGGAAGGCGCTCTGCTTCTCAGTCCCGGGACTCCCAGGAGACTATCAGGTACTAAGAGCAGAAAGTCAGGCACAGACCATGAACAAATCATCATCTGGTGCTGTCCATGGCAGGGAGGTGGACAGACTTGGTAAAAACCAACAGCCACTTCCTGTCTTCTGAGAACACAGCTGACAATCAAAAAGTCTGCACATCTCACACGCCCTATCACCCAACGCCTCACGTCAACGACCCTGATCTCAATGCCGATTTCCTTTGATTCTGAATACATGTCCAGAGCTCGGCTATCATGAAACAATGGAGGTCTCTTCACTGCCTCATCCCAGAACGCTGGCACTCAACACGTACTCCCCTCTGAGAGCTGTTTCAGGCGCTGCAGAGCTACTGATACTGACCCAGATCTTGCGAGATGGGCTGAACCTTGAACGCGGACAACGTCTCGGTTGAACTGCCACTCAGATGAATTCCTCACGACTGCACTCAGCTATCTCAAGCCTCCGGATTCTAAAAACTCACAACAGAAACAAACCGCAGCCCACTGAGCTGCTTCCCCGGGGCTCAGAGAGCAGTGGTGACGGCCGTGGAGCTGTCTTACACTGGAAAATCTATCAACCTCCTCGGGCCTGCTTGTAGCTGCTTTACAAGCTCACTTGCATTGTCTACACTGCAGGACAGGAGGGCTGGCGAGGCACAGAATGGCATGATTTCCTCTTTGGCGCCTCCCTTCCTCCATGTGGTGGGACTTCAAAGACCCGATACTGAAACGTGGGGCCGAGACCTGACACGCTCAGGGGTGTTAGTCCACCCA